AGTAAGAGGCACTCACATGTTGATGGCAACCAACAGATGTCCAACTGGATTAAAGACCTACTCAACAGGAAGGAAATCATGCCTGGTACTGGTAATCTAGTCAGCTTTCTGGGGCTAGTAAGGCCATTGTCCTTAGAAAAGAATCTACTACTGATGCCTTGCTACACCAGCATAATTCCTTATTCCATTATTAATCTTATCCTTATACATACAGGTAAGTATAGTTACAGCCACAATCCTTCATCAAAGATGCCTCTCTTTATTGCAAATGTAGACCATCACAGAAAACCACAACTGGACACAATGAAGAGCTCAATGGATCATGGGGAACTGAGCCCCAACAGATGTGTCTACATCATAATTCCTGAATCTATGGCTCAGGAAATAGAGTTAAAGAGGGGTCAGGAATACCAGGAAGTCTGCTGTGAAACAGTCTCTTCTATAAATGGCTGCCTGATTAATACTGGAACAATGGCAATATCAATAGACATGTTAACACTGAAGGGAGAAAATTTTGTGGGATTCCACCTTAGCTAACATTTAAGGTAAAAATTTCTTTCCTGATAATCATAGTATTCTATAACTAAATAGGTTATCATAGAAGCTAGTACATTTTCAAGTAGTTATGGTGAGTAGATAACAAGTGTTGGTTATTTAATGACTGAATTAATTAAATTCACTGACTTGGGCCAGTGAATGTCACCATACAAATTATGAATATATATATATATATATATATATATATATATATATATATATATATATGGTCTCACATACAGCCAAATTGACAACTTGTAGCCACTTCCAAAATATTCTTTAAAAATATTTATTTAGTGGATAGAATAATTTGGGTAAAACTTTCTAAAGGTAAAATGTCTTATGTTTGAAATAAGTGATTCATTACAACTTATAGATAGAAAATATTTGCAATATTTGCATTTACTTGAAACTTTTGAAATTATATTTTTTCTAAGATAATTAACCATTGGGGCCATATTGAAGAATGATTACAATTATTAGACACTCTGACAAAAACACAAATATTTGCAAACAAGTCTTTATTATGAGCTATTTGGTTTCAAAACTGTAGTTGATTTGAATGAGACCAAATTGAGCTCAGCTGGCTGGTTACTCATCATTGGTGAGGCCAGAGATGCATGCTGAAGTGCTGTGGTTTCTATCTTCATTCAGTAAGAATGTCATAGGGAGTGAAGAAGGGAAGGTTAGGGTCAGGGAAAGAGAGAGAGAGAGAGGCCTGTATCCATGCATATGTGTGTATGAATGTGTGTGTGTGTGTGTGTGTGTGTGTGTGTAGATGCACGGATGTGTGTTCATAAATGTGTGCATGCATATGGAGGCCAGATGCACTTTGGGCATTATTCCTCAGGGCATGTACACTTTGATTTTAAGACAGTTTCTTTCAGTGGCCTGGGGCTTGTAGCTTTGACTTGTCCAAGGATCTACCTTACTGTGCCTTCCTGGTGCTGAGATCACATGTGCACCTCACCATGCCCAGCTTGTTTGATTTGTCATGTAGGTCCTGGGCATCAAATCTGTTCCTGATGGCTGTGCAGCAAATACTTCAGCATCTGAGATATTTGCCTAGGTCTATTTAATTTTCTCTTCTTTTTAGTTTACTGATTCCAAGAGGCTTCTTGATTTGTTCACTTCTGAATCCACCTTTGCTTTTTGCTTTAAAATGGTGTCATGAGTCACCAAAAATGAAACAAAAACAGTTAATTGCAAGTTATCATGGTAATGGTGATAACTTCTGTGTGATAGATAAGGTAAAGCCAAGGACAGGTCTAGAAGTCATCAGGAATTTATAGAACTGGGCTGGCTTTGAAAGGACATCTAACAATAAACGGCCAATGTTTAGGCTGTTGGTCTAGATTGATGCTGTGGGTTTTTTGTTTTGTTTTGAAACCCTCTCATCTTCTGGTATGATTTCATAGACTGTGCTGTGCAGAAGCAAAGCAAGTCATGAAATTTCGGAACGGAAGTCATTTACTGCTTTTCTCTGGAGAGTCTATTGATTCCTGTTAAAGGGGAACCATATTCTACCACTTGCGTTGTAACAGCTTTTTTTTCTCCAGTGTGTTGTTAAAGTTCAGGATAGGTTTCATTTGGAATCCTTTGTCTTCTAATAACTGTAATGAGGCATCTTGAGAATGTGTTCCCTTTCCTTGCTTGCCTGTTCACTGAGGTAGAACCTGATGTGCTCCAAATGCCTCTATGTAGGAAAGTGTGGTTTTAGAAATAGCATGTCCTTGTGCCAACACCCTGAACCTATCTTTTCAAACCAGCCAAGAAAACATTTACTGAGCATTTGAAATGAACCTTGTGTTATTGCTCCTCTTACTCTAGATTCACTTTACCTCCTCTCTCAATAGATGAACTACCACACAGTGGCTTGAACCAGATATTGGGGACCCACCCTTCAACTCTCCTTTATGCCCACCTTCTGTAGTTCGGTAAGTACTGTTGCTCAGCCAGTTCTAGAAACACAAACAAAATTAAATTCCTATTAGAAAATATTTCCTTTTCTTCTATTATCCCCTTCATCAGTGACAAGATGCCATATATGTGTTTTATTGTCTTCTAATGTATGCCTAAAAACTTACTTTACATGTATTTACTAATAACACTTGATATATTGCATATTAAGAAATAGGAATATGACATGCTATATAAAATATTTTATAATTACAGTTTTAGCTTTATGATTTTTTAAATGAAACAGTTCTTCACCTTGTGTCGTTATGGTTGATTCTCATCTCTTTCTCTTGTTTTTCTGAAACTTTCTAGCCCAATAATAAGAAAACAGACTCCTCCCTCTGAGATCATTTTCTTTAATTGGTTCATTTCAGCATAAAAGTCTAGTAAAAGCAGAATTGCCAACCCACATCCCTGTAGGAAACAATTTTGCCAACTAGAGTATGGCAGTGAGGTGTGAATTACCTGTTTGCAATTAATTTTTTTCAATTTTATCAAAATGATTTGGAATGTATCCAATGAAGGAAGAAGCTTTTGTTGTACTGCATTCACTAAAGTCTGTCCTAAATCCCTAAGTTATTATTAAAATTTGCATATGTAGATGCTCATTTTGTGCTGTAAAGTTCTATAAGGTTCTATGGATTTTGACAAATCCATAGGGTCTATGTATCCACCACTATGAGGGCATACAGAGTAGAGTCACAGTTCCTATAGAAGTCCCTTGTGCTTTACCTACTCAGCATGCCTCTGGCAATGACTGCCTTTTTGGCTGGCATTTATAGTTTGCTTTTCTGAAAATGTTATATAATTAAATTATACAGCACAGAGTTCTTTAAGGAGTTCAGTCACTTAGTAATTTGTATATAAGAGTTGGATATGTATTTTTATAGTTGAATAACTTTTTTTTCCTTTCACATCTGAAGTCATTTGGATGATTACATTGTAGTTTCCATAGACTACTAGCCTTAATAAAATGTTTAATATTGTTTTATATATATTCTATTTCATTTTGAAATTTGAAGATAATCTCCAAATTCTGAAAAATATACTTATAGCCATTTAAGCCTACTTTCAAATACTACTTTTCAGAGAGTGTAAGTATCATGTAAATAGAGTATTCTTAATCATTTCCTCTATTTGTTTGACTTTGATCCCACTCATTTCACATAAGCATAAGCTGAACTCACCTCAAACTTTGTAGGTATTCTTTCTTCAAACAATTATACTTTAAAATAATGAGAAAACCCTTTCAATTGCTTGTATTCATCATTTATATACTTTTCTTTATGTCTATCATAGTTCCTGATCTGTAACCTTTTCCAAATTTCTTTTATGTTTGAGAGTATAATATAATTACATCGTGTCCTTCCTTTAGCCTCCCTCCAAACCTTCCCATACATCCCTTCTTGCCCTCTTTCAAATTCATGTCCTGTTTTCTTCATTAATTGTTATTACATGCACATATGCATGTGTATGTGCATATGTATTCCTAAACATAGGCTACTGTTTGTATAATGTCACTTGTATGTATGTAGCCCACTTTTCTCATTCCTGTTAATGCATCTACTGATCACACCATTATAACCTATCACCTTCTAGAACCATAAAAACTAACCACTAGGGAGGAAGCTTCCAGGTCCAAAACTAGCTTGACTTCATCATGTAATGTGATTAATGTATGTGGTCATCAGAATATGAAAATAGGAATGAGAAAATTAGAAGCAAAATTACTTAGATGAGAGATGAGGGTCCCCTACCTTTATCCTCCTATCAATGCCATAGACTATTAGCATGACTTCTTTTCACCTAGTCCACACAACATAGTAGTCAGTCATTCTTCTTTATTGATGTTTGCTGGATGACCATCTCAATGATTTACCTGAGCTTTGTTTTTATATGAAGATTCATTCAGGACCAACATCTGAATGTGTGGTATCTAATACACAGGGATCTAGTAAAAGTCTCCCCTGGAACTTCATACCTCTTAAGAAACAAGGGGGTCTTAACATCACTCTCAATTTATGTATCAATCCATTACCTTGTATGAAGATTAAACTCATTGTAATAGAAGGCAAAAATTTTTCTTTTGTTCTATTCCTGAGGGAGAGAGATAATGCATTTTAAAATCTTTCTGATGTCATGGCCATAAGATTAATGCTGATGTAATCCAATGTGTTATCTGTCTGCTGTGTCTCTAGTAAGTCAATAGAGCCACACTTCGCTAATTGAAATCTGCGTGCTGATGGAGTCTTTCTGTGGAAATGAAAGGTGGCTGCCACAATCTGTTGGGAGTTAAATTAATCCTCCAGGAGTGAGCCTGTCCTAATTACTCCCCTCAGCAACACTGGGCTAGCTTTTGCTGATGTTGAGCTTCCTGGTAGATCCCAATATGCCATTTGGCTAATATTTTCATGAATTACCTTAAATTCACTTACTATGTCATTAATGAGCTTTTTTTCTCCCATGTGAAACTGTTATTTCTTATGCTCAATCTTTATTTGAAAGTGTTCTTAAATGCTAGAGAAAACTGTGGCTCCTAACCATTGCCCGGCCTCCGTGCCTGTGGGCTGCTGGCACTGAAGTGGGTCATACAGTGGGGGGAAAAAAAGAAAGTGTTCTTAAATGAAAAGGACAATTGACTAGTCACATATTAAACTATTTCTGCCCAATTATTTGTCACCATTGAATATTACATATAGTTTTGTCCTTGACACTCCAAAGCAATTGTGTTCAGAGACATAACTGAGAGCAACAAAGTGTAAACCTTTTCAGTAACCAATCTGTGTTATCCAGTTATTGTAGAAACAGTGACTAGACACATAATTTACTGCACCTATCATGACTCAGCTATGTCTTGGCCACAAAATAAATGTTTTCATATTCTATACATGTCACTTGAAGTAGATGTTGTCAGTATTTCCTCTACATATATTTTAAAAAACAAAAATATAGGGAGTTAAAAAAAATCTTTCTAGTTCCACACTGCAAATGAATTTCAAAATGATGAAGTAGTCCAGTTCCAGACCAGGCTGCCCCTTGTGATAAAGGCTGGCTAATTAAAATATAGGCAAGCTTCAGATAAACAATTAAAATGTAATTTTAGCATACAAAAGAGCTAAACATTGTAAGAGAAATATGAACAATAAGTTAAAATTGTTGATTAGCCGAAATCCAACTTAACTGGGTGTCTTATGAACGTAATTTTATCTTTTTTTTGTTGCTGGTTTGAGAATGCTAACAGCCTTTCTAGAACTTGTGTTGGTTTTTTTTCTTCCTCCTCAGAAGTCTATGTAGATTTTGATGATGTTCACATCTCAGGACACCACCACCATGATCAAGACACTAAACATGCAGCCTTTATTTTGCTAACATACATGAACAGATAAGGACCCTGGACCCCCAGAGGAGAAGCACCATTTAGAGTAATAAATAGTGAGGATAAGTGACAGAGTCATTCCTTTCATTCCATCCTTAAAGAAAGTTAATTATCTGGTTAATTCATATTTGAAACTAGGAGTCTTCATTGGAGGTGACTTAAACATTACATACATACATATATACATACCTGCAGGCATACATGCAGGAGGAACACTGTATACATAAAATGAATGAATGAATGAATAAATTAATCTTTTATATATATATATATATATATATATATATATATATATATATATATATATATATAATGCAATGGTTTTAGAGTGTTTGACCAGAAGAGATTCATTCTTCTGCTTATCCACATTAAATCTTACTGGCTTGTATTGGTTGGAATTGGCATTGATATACAGTTGGAACACAGTAAGCATGTCATTAAGGAGGATCATCTGTTATTCAACACACACACACACACACACACACACACACACACACACAATTTTATAGACCTTTTGAAGTTATGGTATGGAGTTGACGTTAGTACATCACCAAAAGGTTGTCTACTTGGCCATAATGGGGAGATACTGAGGTGTTAGAACTTTTAGGAGGGGATACATAGTGGAACCAGTTAGGTCATTATGAGGAATTAATGTAGTTCTCCAGGACCACAGTTAGCTTCCACAGGAGTAGCTTGTCATTAAAAGAGTATTTATTCCCAGTCCTCTGAGCATTGATTTTCAGCCTCACCATCAGCCTCACTTATTTTCTCCCTGTCTCTGTGTTGCCGCCTTCCATATTCTGGTATTTTGATGTAGACAGGGGTCTTCACCAGAGCCTAGTAGATACGGGAGACATTGTCTTGACTCTTCAGGTGTCATTTCCTTTAAATGTACCTGTGGACCATCAGTGTTGGTGCAACAACAGAAAACTGGCTAATATGGAGTTCTTACAAAAATTGTTAAAATAGTTGAATGCCAAGAAAATCATAGCTAGCATGGAATGTTAGTAAAGATTTTGGTTCTATAGACTTCATCTTTTAGACATTAAGACATCAACTAGACCATTAGGATTTTCAACTCTTTAGGAAAGACTTTATTTACATCTTAATTATATTTTCTATAAAGTATGAAATAATGAAATGGAGGACTTCTCTCCTGATGCTCCATTTTTCTCAATAGGTTATAGTTCCTGGACTGGAGAGGTGCTGTCTGAAATGCTTCATTACTGACTCTTATAATGACTATAATAAGAAGGTAATTCTGGAAGCCATCTTTATTATATTGATGTTACCAATTAAATCTCTTAATTGTATACTCAGATTAAATTGACTACTTACAGAAGACAGTGGGGCTAGGTTTCTTCTTTAGGGATGTGGGAATAATATCTAAAAATTATGTCATCGTTCTGTGGTATTTAGCATAGAACTGAGCAATAGAGGGGATCCAATGGTTTTCATCAGAGCAAAAGGACTAAGGCTGAGAAACATAGGTATTTCCTTTGAAACCAGGTAATATTGATTTGTGCATTTCATATTTCAACATTTATTGTAGAAGAAGGAGTCATAATCCAAAGAATGCAAGCAATCTCTGGAAAATAAAGAAGTCAAGGAAACAGATTCTTCCTTAAAGTTCCCAGAAAATATGCAGCCCAACAGATAACTTGGCTTTAAATTTCTGGCCTTCAGAACTGTGCAAGAAGAAAGATATATTTTAAGATACACAGTTTATGGCAATTTGTTATAGAAAACACCAGAAGCTAATGTACATCCAGTGAGATCATCTTAAATCATGCTATGCAGAATCTTTTCATGTCTTGAGGAAGACCCAGAAGCTCATCCTGTATGCTCTGCAACACAGAGCTCTCCATACCCCTACTGGGGCAAGTCCTACGTATGACAAACACTATCATTGTACCTTCAGAACCTTTCTTGTTATCTGGTGTATGAACATAAATCAGAATTTTTTTCTGACTGACTTTTCAGATAGGTTGGGGAATAGATAATGGTCTAAGAATGATATAGAGAGTCATTAATAAACTACATCACCAATAACATCTTTGAGGAACACAAGCCTGAGTTCCTAATTGGCCATGTAATATTTGGTAATTGTTCTGATTTTTCTCAACCTTGATTTCTATACCACACTCTGTCAACTACTGTCTGTGATAGTTGTAAAAATTAAAAACATGTGGAAATACTTCAGGGATTTAGAATGGAAACATGATGGTGTCTTGGTGTAATGTGAAATTGAGTAGTTTTACTCATTATTATACCTATTCATTGTCACAGTAGTGATTTGGTGACAATCACTTAGGAGGGGCTCAATGAAAGTGCCACTGCACTGAGGACACACTGAGTGGCTGGGTATGCCTCTACTTTTTCTTCATTTCGATATTGTTGAGTGCTGGAGTTATGGCTGAATGTCTGAAGATGAGCAGCTTTCATAAAAAGGACTTGGCACAGACTATACAGGCAGTGGACTATGTTCCTACCACAAGGGTCAGCCATGACAAGCCAATGGCATTGTTGTAACATGGCCAGGCTGGTTCTTGGATTGCTACAGTACCAGTTAGTCAAATGGTTCTGGACTCACTGTCCTACCTTCCCTAGTATCAAATGTTATGCTGAATATCTTACCATCTCTGAAAATGTGGGCTATGACTCACCGTGAAACATGGGGAGAAAAGAAAAATCAGAAGAAGAGGAAACAAAAATCTTTCCAATACCCTCTAGAGGTAGAAGGTCTATGTTAGAAAGAGGAGACATGGAAAAGGGAAGACACAGATGCATGCTAGGGCTCCACCTGCAAAGCTCTTGATGGTGTTTTCCTGGTCTCTTCCTCTTTACTTATGCTTACTTGCTATACCACCACTGTTGTGTGCCAAAGTAACTCCTGCTGTCCTTCAATGATCAGCCTTCCCTAATTGCAAATATTGGGGTTAGGAGTTATCAGTCATTTTTCTATGACTGCAATAAAATACCATGACTCATAGAATAAAGGGTTTATTAGGCTTACAGTTCCAGAGGGTTAGAGTCCTTGATGGCAGAGTAGAGGCAACAAGTGGCAGGAACTGGATGCTGAGAGCAGACGTGGAGAACTCACATCTTTGAACCCCAAGCAGGAAGCAAAGGAAGCACACAGGGAAGGGCATGAGGCTTTGAAATCACAAAGCCAGCCCCCAGTGACTTACTTTTCCTAACAGGGCCACTTCTGCTAACCCTCCCAAACAGCATCATCAAAGGGAGACCAAGTATTCAAATGCCCATGGCTATGGGCATCTCATTCAAACCACCACAGAGTCTCCAAGATCATTTGTGGCTCTGTGCTCTCTGCTCCAGTGTTTAAATAGTTTGTATGTATGTCTGAATGTGTGTCTGACTGGCCTCTTCCGAGGATCTTGAACAGTCTAGAGAAAGACCTTTTCTTTCTTTCTTTCTTTTTTTTTTTTTTTTTTTTTTTTTTGGTTTTTCGAGACACGGTTTCTCTTTATAGCTTTGGAGCCTGTCCTGGAACTCACTCTGTAGCCCAGGCTGGCCTCAAACTCACAGAAGTCCACCTGAGTGGATCTGCCTCCCGAGTGCTGGGATTAAAGGCATGCGCCACCACCACCCAACAAAAGACCTTTTCTTGTCACCTTCACTGTTCAATGGCCAAATTCTCAAATTCAAACATACCTGGTAGAGTGAATCTTTTAGAAATGTCTGCAATAGCAGTGATATAAGCACTTGGAGTTTGGGATTATAATGACATTAATTTGGGCAGTGACTATTAGAGCTACTTTTTCAGGACTTGAATGGAATGGAATATTAGTAGAAGACTATCAACTTATACTTCCTACAAAAGACTGTTATTCATTTGTTCTCAAAATGTAACACGAGTCATATTTAAAGCCACCTACAATTTGGGGCCTGTTTTGTCCATTCACGAATTCTTTCCTTCATTCAACACATTAGCAACTGCCTACTGGGTGCTAAAATTAGGTCTGCATCGGTAAATTATGCAGTCTTATTTCTTCCATAAGAGGCTTATAGGATAGGAGGAGTCAATAAATAATACAACCGTGTGTGTACAAATGTAAAATAATGAATTGAAGTAAATGTTTATGAGGAAGCAAGAGAAACTATCTAACAGTGAACACTACAGAGACAAGTACTGGCTCAGATTTAGGATGCATAGGGTTCAAAGTCAAGTTCTGGTTCCTATCAGATGCATCAGCACA